CATAGTAAACATTTCTGCAATTTTTATTTACGGGGGAAAAAGTCAAAAAATTCAAAAATTGAAGGTGAATTATCCACGCTTTTTGAGAAATTTGGAATTTTCGGGGCACGGTGTCGAAAAGTCAAGAAATTCTAGGGAATAAATCTTGGGGTCATACAATGTCGTTTGGAACCATATATGATCATTTTTTGTTGTCATAAATGTTCGTGGGAGGTTTGAGTTGATAAAATCGTTGAAAGTTGCAAACTGGTAAATTGGTCGTTTAAAGACAAATTGAATAGTTCTACCCACCCAATTGGACTCCCGGGGGGCATTAGGGACCATGGTAAACATTTTGACAATTTTTATTTCCGTGCGAAAAAAAAGTCAAAAAATTCAAAAATGAAAGGCTAATATCCATGTTTTTTTTAGAAATTTCGAAGGTTTCGGGGTCCGGTGTCAAAAAGAAATGAGATTTTAGGGGATACATCTCGGGGTCATATAATGTCGTTTGGAATTATAAATGATCATTATATGATGTCATAAATGTTCGTGATATGCTTGAGTTAATGAAATCGGTGCAATATGTAACCAGTAAATTGGTCGTTTAAAGGCAAATTGGGTGGCTCCACCCACCCAATTAGACTCACGAAGGGTATTGAGAACCATGGTAATTATTTTGGCAATTTTTATTTCCGTGCAAAAAAAAGTCAAAAAATTCCAAAATTGAAGGCTAATATCCATGCTTTTTTAGAATTTTGAAGGTTTCGGCGGCCGATGTCGAAAAGAAATGAGATTTTAGGGGATACATCTCGGGGTCATATAATGTTGTTTGTAACCATGAATGATCATTATTTGTTGTCATAAATGCTCGTGGTAGGTTTGAGTTAATGAAATCGGTGCAAGTTGTAAACCGGTAAATTAGCTGTTTAAAGGCAAATTGGATGGTTCCACCCACCCAATTGGACTCTCGGAGGGTATTAGGGACCATGGTAAACATTTAGACCCACCCAATTTGACTCTCGGAGGGTATTAGGGACCATGGTATACATTTAGGCAATTTTTATTTCCGAACGAAAAAAAAGTCAAAAAATTCCAAAATTGAAGTCTAATATCCACGCTTTTTTGAGAAATTTTGGAGGTTTTAGCCACCCTTTAACCTGCCGGAACCCTAACTCCGCCTTCAAACTCGTCGAAATCCGGCCGACCAACCCCCCTAAACCACCGAATACAGCCGTCCGACCTCTACCACTCATCCCCGACCCCCAAAGCCACCAACTAGACCACCATCGCTACGGCCACTCTATCTCTCCTTAATCAAACCCACAAAAACTTTCTCTCTCCTCATTTACCCAAGATCATCCCCTTTTTACTCCGTCGTTTAAGGGATTCCGACTCCTCTGTTCGCAATGCCTGTGTCTCCGCGTCACCGTGCTCTCCCCGTTAAACTACCCGCCTTTACTCGACGCAACTCTCGGGTCGATATCAATTGAACAAGATTTAAACGCGCAGATCGGGTGCTGCCTATGCCTGAAGGCAACCACTGATGCTGGTACTTTCACTTTCGAGGAGAAGGAAGTGATTGACCTGAGAAAAAGGGCTAGAAAGGGGGTCTGGGCGGTGGTCGATGCTCCGGGGGAAGGTATTCGCTGGCCGTGGGTGGGTGCTGTTGTTGTCGTGGGAAGGTTTTGATTTTTTTTAATCTTTAATTTTTATTTATTTTTTTATTTTTTTAATTTTAACCAATCATTATGTGACATGTGTGTAACTAATCACAAGTCAACAAAATTGACCTCTTCAACCGGTTTCAAGACATTTGGGTGCAATAGAAATCCATGCCCCCTAAAGTTGGGAGTGATGGGGAATAATCCAAAGTAGGGATTAATTTGGGTGGACGGGGTAAAGTTGGGATTAATGGGAGCAATTTTCCTTTAAAAAATTGTTGCTTTTATTTGGTAACCCCAAAAGGCTTAAATGAATTTTTTTTTGAAATAACTTTCGAATTTAATCTTGTACTCATATAGTTTGTTGTTAAGTTGATATTAATAAAATAGCGCCGTAATCAACTAATGATTATGAGTTTGTATGTAATGTGTTAGCAAAAACAAGCTGGGTGTAGTAGTAGGGGGCAGTTAGCTAGGAAGTAAGAAATTCATGTTGTGATGCATGGATGAAGTATGAAGCAACTCCCACTGCTTAAAGGCCGTAATTTAAGTATGAACATTAAGTTGTGCGTCACGTTACTCATGCACTGCAAGCTGGAGGAGTTCATCATCGCCAGTAAAGATAAACTTAATTTGTGATTAATAAGAACATGCAATTTTAACCATAAAGTCAGCTCAAAAATAGGTAGCTCGAATGCTCGATCATACTAGTATATCAATATTCAATTAATTACATATTTACAATACAACACTATTTTGTGTGGAATTCTAACTGTATTCTTTGAATGGTTAAATCATGTCAAATATGATCTCATATGAGCACAAATAATTTATTTCATTTTTTTAGGCCTCTAAAATTTCATTAATTACCCTGAATATACCATAAAAGTCGCATGTATCTAAGTAGAAATTTTTTTATACACCCGGATGCATGGTGCACCAAAGAATACTTTTTACTCATTTCGATGATTATTGCTCATTTTATCATCAAATGAACGAACAAATACCCTTAAGTGTATTGTACACCCGAGTGTATATAACAATCACTCGTATCTAAGTCTATTTTCATCACTAATATATATTTGAAATTTTCTTCAGGCGTTTTTTAATTTTATTTTTTTTAAAGGCAGAATGAACATATTTCGTTGTTTTGTAATGAACATATAACTGTTTTATAAAGAACAACCAGCTTTATGTTCTTCTTATTTATCTAATAAACATCTATAATATTAATCAAGAACATGATAATATAATGTAATGAACATTATTTTTATTCAACCACCACAATCTAAACTCTAAAAACAAAATTCAAAAAACATTTCAAAATAAACAATGAATATTACATTATGTCACAAATAAAAGTACATTATACTGACAATAAAAAAACATGAAGATAAATAACATTATTTAACAGTATGTTTATTTCACTCTAGGTATATTTTCATTACATTTTAATAGTATACGTTGACCTGCAATAACTCTATATCTTCTTTTTTTTCATTTAATAGTTAAACATTTGAAATATTCTATTTTTAAGGAATGTAAAGTTTTGTTCTTATCTTTGTTATCCATTCATATGCTAATAAGTTAATAACAACATTTAAAAATTCAACCACCAACTCAATGTTTTAGTTAATTTAGTTTCTGTCACAATTTCCTATTAGAATATTAAGGTATATCAGATGAACATGCTCATCATTTCTATATGGCCGTACTATGAAATAAAATTAGTATTCCGTATTTATTTAATCAGCTTGTTCAAATGCTAAACTGTATGATTATGTATGTCGTCAATGGTATTGAATTGCTACTTACATTGTAATATGTTGACTTACTAAAAAGTTTATAATAAGGTTTAATAATTAGTGTCAATGCAATGATGCTAGTTAGTGGGTGTTTATGTAGGATAAAAAGTAGATGCTCAATATAAGATTATAGATGTTTGAATTATAAAAAGGTGATACGAGAAATGAATGGATTGTGAATGTTTAGGAATCTTAAGATGAAAAAAAGATGCTCATTTCATTTCTTATATGATGCTATCCATTATCAAAATCTTAGTAATTATTTATTTGTACAATCAATCAATTGTTGTATGAACCTTAACAATGTAAATTCATCATATACTAATATTTTAAAGTAAAATCCAACCTCGATTAGGTTCAAACTTAAAACTTAAATTAATATGCTTTACATGTAGGATTGTGCAAATAACAAATGGGACAGATGATGTAACGAAAATGATATGATATTAAATCTTAACCATGACGTGATTAGGAAGATAAATAATCTTACCATGAGAAAAATTGCCTAGCTAAATAATCCTATTTAGGGTCTGTTCATATTTATTGAACTAAACTGATTGGCCGGAGCTGAACTGAACTGAACTCAACTGAAACGAATATTTTATGAGAGAGGAAAATTAGGAGTGAGCTGAACTGAACTGAACTGATTGGAGTTGAATTGAACTGAACTAAAATTAAGTAAATGTAAACATGCCCTTAGATATGTATTTTAAAAATAAATTGATCTATTGTACCATGAGAAAAGTGTTGCAAACCCATGCAAAACCAACAGTTGGGATTAACATTTTTGTGCTTAAAACTCATGACACGTAATAAAGCATGAGCCCCTTTTCCCATTAACAAAATGCTAGTACTACAAAAAATATTTGTTTGATTTATTTGTATGTAGGTGAGCCATTTCATATTTGCCCCAACCCAAATTAGTGGGGCATATGTTAATGACCACTTTTAATCACCCATGAAATTTGTCATTATTTTTGTCAAGCATTGGTGCTAGCATATTAATTAACGGATAACTGTGATGAGAATGACACAGTGAATTTCTAATTTTGTCTTATTATTTTATACTTTATACTTGTCAAAATAATACTACCATTAATTAAGTGATATTATAATATTGATGGAAATATCATACTCCTTATGTATTTGCAATTCATTATGGTCGTTACATTTGTATGTTTCTAATTCACATCAATATATCATGAATAGTTCAGTTTATAACAAATATCTTATTAAATCTTCATGTATATATAGAAAGTAAAACAATTAAAGTAGTTACATCAAATACTTAATCTTGAGCTCTAAAATTACATCGAATGGATTAATTTTATTTTTTTTATGAGCTAACGGTTTAATCTATTTGTTGTTGTCAAGATATTGACCATATCGACAACAATTTGAACATCTTTAACCAAAAATCCAAAAATATCACCTAACCAAGACTCTTGAATCTTGACTATCTCTATTGAAAAAGTGGAATTACAAAAAATGTTAAATTATGATGCTTTAACGACTTTAACTCATAAAATTTCCCCCTGAAATCGACAATATCATTCCCGAAACACATTAATCTCCAAAAATTTAGCCCACCTTTACTTAATTGCTAATTAATTAACTCAATATAAGACAATTATCTCTGACAATATAATCTCCACTTCACACTCCATTTCACACTCCACTTCACTTCACTTCCTCCCACTCACTCTCTCTCTCCCCTCCAATGGCGAAACTGAATAACCTCCTCCCACCATTCCTTCTTCTCCTCCTAACTCTCACCTCCGCCCAACCCGACCCGGAAACCCGAAAAACTTACATTATTCGGGTCGACAGAACCGCTAAACCCACCGTCTTCACCACCCATTACCACTGGTACACCTCCGAATTCACTTCCTCGGAATCTGAAATTCTCCATACATACGACACCGTTTTCCACGGCTTCTCCGCCGTGTTAACCGCTTCACAAGCTGAAAATCTCAACAACCACCCTTCTATTCTGGCGGTCCTCGAAGACCGCCGCCGGGAACTCCATACGACACGGTCCCCACAATTCCTCGGACTAAGAATCCAACGTGGACTCTGGTCGGAATCCGATTACGGGTCTGACGTCATCATCGGAGTCCTCGATACTGGGATATGGCCGGAGAGACGCTCCTTCTCCGACCAAAACCTCGGCCCTATTCCCAAACGATGGAAAGGAACCTGCGAAGTTGGTGAGAAATTCGGCAAAAATAACTGTAACCGTAAGATCATCGGTGCACGATACTTCTCCAAAGGACACGAGTCCGCCTTCCCCGGGATTACCGTCGGAAACACGACGTCGGCGTTGGAGTTCAAGTCCGCGAGAGACGCCGACGGTCATGGGACCCACACAGCATCAACAGCAGCAGGGAGGTACTCGTTTAACGCCAGTATGAACGGTTACGCTTCTGGGGTTGCTAAAGGTGTGGCTCCTAAAGCAAGGTTAGCTGTTTACAAGGTTTGTTGGAAAAATTCTGGTTGTTTTGATTCTGATATATTAGCTGCTTTTGATGCTGCTGTTAATGATGGTGTTGATGTTATCTCTATTTCTATCGGCGGAGGAGATGGTATTTCATCTCCTTATTATCTTGATCCGATTGCAATCGGGTCATACGGTGCCGTTTCAAGAGGGGTGTATGTGTCTTCCTCTGCTGGGAATGACGGGCCGAATACTATGTCGGTGACGAATTTAGCACCGTGGATAACAACCGTTGGAGCGGGGACTATTGATCGGAATTTTCCGGCGGAGATTGTTTTAGGAAACGGGAAAAGAATCTCCGGCGTATCGCTTTACTCGGGTTTACCCTTAAAGAAAGGGTTATACCCGATTGTTTACCCGGGTAAAACGGGTTCTCTGTCTGTTTCTTTGTGTATGGAGAATTCTCTGAATCCAAAAGAGGTAAAGGGTAAAATTGTAATTTGTGATAGAGGGAGTAACCCCAGGGTTGCGAAAGGGGTGGTTGTTCAGAAAGCTGGTGGTGTTGGGATGATTCTCGCTAACGGAGCATCTAACGGTGAGGGATTAGTAGGTGACGCGCATTTAATCCCAGCCGTTGGTGTTGGATCCGACGAAGGAGATTTAATCAAAGCCTACGCTGCAACACGATCACCGAAAGCAACTATCAACTTTAAAGGAACCGTCGTCGGAATCAAACCGGCGCCGGTGGTGGCGTCATTTTCCGGCAGAGGACCAAACGGGTTAAACCCGGAGATATTAAAACCCGATTTGATTGCACCCGGAGTTAACATTCTTGCGGGTTGGACCGAAGCCGTGGGTCCCACCGGGTTAGACGTGGATACCCGGAGAACGGAGTTTAACATTTTGTCCGGCACTTCAATGGCGTGCCCCCATGTAAGTGGAGCTGCGGCATTGTTGAAATCGGCGCACCCTGATTGGTCGCCGGCGATGATAAAATCTGCAATTATGACAACAGCTAGTCTTACTAACAATCAGCTGAAGCTGATGACGGATGAGGCAATCCCTGGGAAAGCTTCTAATGCTTATGATTACGGGTCCGGGCATTTGAATTTGGAGCAAGCTCTTGATCCGGGTCTTGTTTATGATATTACTAATGATGATTATGTTAACTTCTTGTGTGCGATTGGTTACGGGCCGAAGACGATTCAAGTGATTACTAGGAATCCTGCTAATTGTAATATGAAGAGGAAAGCGTCCCCGGAGAATTTGAATTATCCGTCGATCGCGGTGTTGTTTCCGGGTTCTGGGGTTACGAGCAAGACGTTTGTAAGGACGGTGACTAATGTAGGGGATGATGTGAATGCGGTTTATAAGATGAAAGTGGAGGTTCCGGCGAAGGGGGTGGCAGTTTCGGTGAAGCCAGATACATTGGTGTTTAATGAGAAGGTGAAGAGGATTACATTTACTGTCAAGGTTACGGTGGATAGTAAGAATTTGAATTTGGGAGATACGGGTGCGGGTTTCGGTTCGATATCTTGGGCGGATGGAAAGCATGTGGTTCGGAGCCCCATTGTAGTGACCCAAGTAAACCCATTGTAATCTAGTAAAGGAGAGCATTGATGTATTATAGGGAAAGAATGAATGGTATGTTACTTTGTTTGGTTGGATCACTTTGATGCCAATGATCAAAAGATGGGTGTAGGATTAGAGCCATTTGATCATGAGTAACTTTTGATCGATTTTTTTTTTTTTTAATTTATTAAATGAGTTGGTTTGCTTTTGCTTTTGGGAATGGGGGTTATGGGTTCTGTCTTGATATGATGATGTTGTAATTATAAAAAGGCAATGTTGTTTGTATAAAGACAGGAAAAAGAGAAAGTATAAAGGAGTGATGAGTAGTATTGTAGTACTGTCCGTAGTGTAAACAGATGTTGCAAAATTGAAGTCATCCTTTACATGACATTGATACTGCTGTCTTCTTGTAGCAATTTTGGTACATTTAACATTTCACATGAATGTTGTTAGTGTCCTCTTTCTGTTAACCAAGTCAAGTATTTGTAGATATGTGAGAGTGTGAGACTCATTTCGTTGTGCATTTTAGGCTTCATTTTGCCAAAATTAATCCCACTTGAATGGACCATTCACCCATTGATACTTTATAGCATCAAATTTGTTAGGAGTAAATTTAGTAAGCAATACTTATGTCCTACAGTAGGGGTATGGAAATATAACTTGGATTGAGGAAAACTAGAAGGGTAATAGATTTCCATAGAATGTTCACTCAATGGTTTGTAAAATTTGACAAAAGATGTGTTGAATCATAATACCAAGTTGGTCTATTTTATATGATGATAAAGACATGTATGAGTAGTTTGCAAAAATCTCGATAGGTAATACGACTTTATTTTTAAGGAAGCAACACATATGTTATGTTATGTTACAGTATCAATATGAAAAGCTACCAACTTAAAAATGTCTAAGGGTTTGAGCTTTTGATAACAATTTTAAGAAAACTTGGTTTTTATAATTATCACAAATTCACAAGTATTGGTATATTATACTCTATTAATCTATTTCAAACTAAAAAATCCATGCCAACTAATTAAATTAATTAGCCATTTGTACATTGTACCATTAATGACCCCATGTAATACTTGCACAATCAATTTAATATCTATCAAATTTTATCACTTGTAACAAATTTTCCAATTCACACTCTCATTTAGGACCTATTCTGATTTACTGAACTGAGCTAAACTGAACTGATTAGAGCTGAACTGAATATTTTATTTCCTCCGTTTTCTTTTAGATGAAACACACCCTTTAGCGCGGTAATTAAGAAAGGTGGGGTTTACATGATATAATAACCTTTAAAATAGGATGAGTGGTTGTTATGAGTGTAATTTAGTGGGTCATGTGCTTTAAATAAGGAAAATAGTATAGTTTTTCCTTAAAGTAACTTTCCTTTTATAGTGTGTTGCAAGTATTGTGACATTTCCTTTTTAGGGAAGTGTTGCAAGTAAAAGAAAATGGAGGAAGTATAAGAGAAGGAAATTATAAATTGAACTGAAATTAAACTGAAGAGAACAAGCCTTCAGAAAACATCTCCAAACCACAAATCACTAACGCGATATGAAATATTTTCAAGTAAAATTACAATAAACCAAAAATAATAATAATAATAATAAAAAAATTAAATCTTATTTTTTGTAGGCTCATTAATGTATTTGATTGGTTCCATTTCCAACCTTAATTTGATCTAGGAAGAACTTGCAAAAGTGGCCTTAACTTAACTCATAGTTAATGGACCACTAGAATGGGCTTTTCACACCTTTGTACTTGTACACAATAAAAACACCAACCTCTTAGATTACTTAACCCAATCAAACAAACTAACCAACGTGTCACGTAAAAAGCGCGGGAACCAAACTCTATCCTTTAAGAAAACACCTTTACTTGTCCTATCTCCTATCAACAAAACACGTGCCACTCCTCCACAACACCACGTGACCTCCCTCCATTTCCTTTGCCACTAATCCCACCTCATAAAACCCTCACTAAACCCTGCACCCATTTCACCGTCTTCAATCCATTTCTTCTCCTTCATTCTTTCAAACAATTTCCAACCAAATTCTCTCTCCTTTGACCAATCATTGACTACTGAAACATGGGCAAAAATGACAACCCTTCGTCCGCCGTTGACGCAACAGAGAAGCTCCTGATCAAGATCCCAGCCACCATAGTCCACCTCATCGACAACCAGCAAAGCGTCGAGCTAGCATTCGGCGATCTCGAAATCATCCTCCTCCGTCAAAACGACGCTGATGTTGCCGTTTTAGCAAGAATCGGAGATCAACTCCAATGGCCATTAACAAAAGACGAAGCTACCCTCAAACTAGACGACTCTCACTACTTCTTCACACTCTCCTCCAACGACGACGTTTTGAACTACGGGTTAACCATCCCTTCAAAAGGGCAGGAAACTCTGCTGAAAAAATTGGACTCGATTTTGGAGAAGTACAGTGGGTTTAAAGAAGAGAGGGTGGATGTAGAGGTGGAGCGTGAAGCGGGTGATTGGTGGGTGGCGGCGAGGGAGGTGACGCCGGAGGAAGTGAATAGGGATGCGGCGAAGAGAGAGAAAATAGAGGAGAGTGCAGCGGCGTATTGGACGACGTTGGCGCCGAATGTGGAGGAGTATAGTGGGTGTGTAGCGAGGATGATAGCGGCGGGGTCGGGGATGTTGGTGAAGGGGATATTATGGTGTGGGGATGTAACAGTGGATAGGTTGAAATGGGGGAATGAGTTTTTGAGGAAAAGGTTGGGGAAGAAAGAGAATGCTACTCGTGTTAGTCCTCAGTGTTTAACCAGGATTCGAAGGTTTGCTTTCTTAGTTTTACTTGTTCGTTTTGTTAAGTCCCTACAAATTTGTCCCATATATTTTTTTTAACTGTTATCTGTGTTAGTTTATAGATTGAGTTGTATCTGTCAATGGCTGTTTAATTAATTGTTTTACTTTCCTGATCCCTATTTCTTTGCCCCGTATTTTCCTTCAATATAAATGATAATACTCTATTTCTTTATATTATAAGTTTATAACATTAATGGTAAATTGGTAATTGGATACAATCATTGATAAAGGCCTAAACTTTATAAGTCATACTTCATAAGTTGTCATATGTAATTATAAGTGTAATATGATACTCTGTTATAAATACAGCGTGTAAATCATGTGTGGATGGAGTTAGTAAAATTTATGAAATATTTTAAAACATAAGTAAAGTTTATTGTATTTAATTTTGAATATAATTCTACATTTTGTGTCTTTACTTTTCCTCAATTTTTTGCTGGTCAACTGAGCTGTAAAGTCAACTAGTCTTGGAGGATTACTTCGTAATTTCGTATGTAACTCAACAAAATGAACTAGCTAGGGTGAAATCTGTGGTTTTTGCTGTAAACAGTAAATCCATGTTAACTTTCTCAGTAACATGAGAATTTGATGTGGTTAGGGTGAAGAGCATGACGAAGAGGTCAGAGGATGTTGCAACCGCAATTCTTTCAGGGGTTATAAAGGTGTCTGAGACTATTACAGGCTCAGTTGTGAACTCGAGAGTAGGAAAGACATTCTTTAACATGATTCCAGGAGAAATTATCTTAGCCTCACTCGACGGTTTCCGTATGTCTTCATCTCGATCCCTTACTCAGCAACCGAGTTTTGAGAGCTATGATCCTTTAGAAAACCATGACTGCATTTCTAACATTTTTTTTTTGGGGGGATGTTTTTAACAGAGAAAATTTGTGATGCTGTTGAAGTTTCTGGAAAGAACGTTATGTCAACCTCTTCCCAAGTTACAACAGACCTTGTTACGGAAAGGTATTACACTTGTTTTATGCTATGATTGTATAATTCGAACTAGTAAAAATGTGAAGGTTGCCTATTCTAGACTCCTTACATAAGAACTATGTTGTATTGGTGAAATCTTTCATAACTAATGTTGTAGGTACGGAGAGGAAGCAGCGAATGCGACACACGAAGGGTTAGATGCAGCAGGACATGCTTTAGGAACAGCTTGGACAGTGTTTAAGTTGAGGAAGGCTTTGAATCCAAAGGGTGCTCTTAAACCCAGTACTCTTGCTAAAGCTGCTGCTGGCAAGGTCAAGAAATCTCTATAGAATACTCCATTGAATGTAATTTCATTTCTAAGCCTTTTTAGGGATAGTAGTGCACTTATGCATGTGCCAAAGTTTCATAACACTGATAGATTAATAATGGTTAAGGTTAATGAACTGAATTCTTTTATTTCTTAGCTTATTTTGTTAGACGCTTAATTCTCATTACCTTGATAAGAATTCTGCATTATATGACTTCTTTTCAGTGTAAATAGTCAAGTTTAATTCTGTTATGATTATTTTGGCTTATTCTTTTCTTGATTATTGATTCGAGTCACGCTTTAATTTAGTTTTATTGTCTTTGGTCGGATTCGTTTTTGACAGCTCTTGAATATAGGAACGTCTAATAAATAGTCCATGTCTGACCCTAATATTATGGCTGTGGGCCTATTGTGGCTTTGGGACTCATCCCTTCTTTGGCAGACAACGTTATACTATTAGTTTCTCCCTGGTACAAGTTAATAGTTGTCATTGGGCTAGTGGGTCCAATTTATAAGAAAAGGCCATATTTTCATGCTACTAGTGTTTGGCCTGCTTGCGTCTTTTTTTAATAGACTTCCAATCTATGATTATTATTAACTCAAACGCCTCAATGAGCCTATGATACAGCTTCACGTGTTCATCTATCTAGTTAATTATATTACAATTATCAAACTGTACAAATGATGTTCCTAATTGCTTTTGCATATATGAATGATGAATCCACACATACAATATACTCCTTATAACTCTGTATAAGAAATTGAAAGTTACCTCTTAAAAATAAGCAATTGTGATTAAAATATACATTGAGACTGTAGTAATTTCCTATAATTCCCTAATTTATCGGCTGATAAATTAGGAAATACTGTATACAAATATAAATGAAATCATCTTGTACGTAGAATTATCGTATTACTTTTTATTGGTCAATCATTGTTGTAAAATTTTACTTGCGTATATAACATCACCCGGTCACCTTCACCCCCGCTCCCTTTTTCTTAATCTCACTGTTTAATGTGCATGTTTTTTTTTCTTTTTTTTCCGACATAAAATGTGCACGTTTCTTATGTATAACATATTAACCATCACAATTCATATTCATAAAAATGTTTTGAAAGTCTAAATTCTGTTATAGAAGTTGAGTGCTTGAAGTCGTGAAGTTAGTTGAAAGCACATTTAATTTGCTGCGATAACACAAAACAAATTGAAAAAGGAAGCAGAGGGTGTACGTTTGTACAACTCCTACTAATGTCTCTAGTTTGGTAGAAACCACATGGTTTTTGGTGGAAATACCTTTCATTAAATCATGCGCATATTTAGAGTTTCAATTGTATACACAACTCACCTAAATTTTGGTAACATTATTGTCCCTGTATATTTGGTTTATGGTTTTATATAACATCTGGAGTAGAGCTGTTAAAAGCTGACCCGACGTGAAATATCGATCCTAACCCGTCTGAACCCGAAAAAAATGGTAACCCGAACCCGACCTAACCCGACCTGAAACCAACCCTAGAGCCGAGTTGACCCGAGTATTTGAGACCCGAACCCGACCATAACCCGACCTAGAGAGGACCCGAACCGAATGTGACCCATAAATTATTGACCTGAACCGAGCCCGACTCGAACCCGAGAATGACCCAAACCCGATTTAACCCGCCAAAATCCGAATTCAACCCGACCCGAGGTCAACCCGACTCGAATTTAAACCCAACCTGTTACAAACCCGACCCGAAATCAATCCGACTTGTTATTGATCTGGCCCAAATTCAACCCAACTTGTTATTGCCCCGACCCGAATTTAAACTCGACCTATTACTAACCTGAATTTAAACTCGACCTATATATTACTAACCAGAATTTAAACGTATTTGAGGCTATATGAGGTGAGTGAGGTGAATCGATGATAGTGATTTTGTCTAATTAAATCAGCCAAATGTTTTTTTTTCTTTTTCTAAATTTATCTTCAAAATAAACTTCCATATAACTACTTATAATCCTTTTATTGATCCGTTTTTTCAAATTTTAGTATTCACTTGTTTATTTTAATATTTTTTTAAATGTTTTAAATTATGCAATTTGATTTGGAGCTTTAAAAAAAAATCAAAAAAAAAATATTGACTTGAACCGAACCCGACTCGAACCCGAGAATGACCTGACTAGGAAATGACCCGACATGATTATAACCCGCAAATTATTGACTTGAACCGAGCCCGATAATGACCCGACCTGATTATAACCCGCAAATAATTGACTTGAACCGAACCCGACTTGAACCCGAACAGGACCCTAACTCGTTTAAACCCGTAAAAACCCGAATGTTACCCGACCTGTTTTTCACCCGACCCGAATGTAACCCGACCTTTTATTGACCCGACCCAAACCCGATAAGATGTATGCCCCGACGTGACTCGACTCAAGCATGACCCAACCCGAACCCGACCCGCATAGGTTCCGACATTAACACGTACTGACCCGACCCGAGATGACCCGACCCACACTAACCCGACTCAAACCCGACCCATTTACCCGAATTGACAGCTCTAATCTGGAGTACTGCCATAAAATAAAATAAAATAAAAAGTAAAACCGACATAATTGAATATCTCTTCATCAAGATTAAAGCACTTTGACATCATTTTGATATATGTGGTAATAATGGGATGACGCCCAAATATTTCATGTACAAACTATATAGAAGGCTTTTACATTTGCAATATTATGATTAAGTTGATCAAGCTTTTCTCGTACTAAGAGTAATTATAAATAGCTTTAGGGTATGTTCACTTCACCTTAATTTCAATTTAGCTCAGTTCAGTTCGGCTTTTAATTTTCTTCTCTCATAAAATATTCATTTCACCTCTATTAAATTCAGTTCAGTTCAATTCAGCTACAATCAGTTCAGTAAATGTGAACAAACCCTTAATTGTAACTTTCTCTATGACTTTAAAAAATACGCGTAAATAAAACAGAAAATATATATAATTTTATAGTATTTTTTGAATTTAGCGTCTAGGCGTGTTTTTTTTCCAAGGGAATTCAGTGTTTAGGTTTTGTTAGGCGAATAAAGTTAAATTCCGACTAGCGGAGGATAGTTTTCACAATAGACCCTAACTAGGGCATACATGCCCTTCCAATGTACTTGTACTTAATTACACTCAATATTGGTAGGAAGATAATAAAGTTAAAAAAAACGTACTAAGTAATGAGGTAATCGAAGCAGGTAGGTGAAATAAATGAGATCGGGCCACTAGAATTGATGTGAAGTGGGCCTGACCTAAAAAAGAAAAGGAGAGAGTGAGAATGAGACAAGCCCATATTATGTAATAAAAGCCAGAATGGGCAAGTTCAATCATAAATGTTGACTTTTGACCTTTTTGGTGTGGAGGAGGAGAGATAAAATAAGGAAAATCATAAATCACAATGATCAAGTGAGGCAACCAATTAGAATCCATTTACCCAACAAACAAAGTGGATCCCATCATATCTTTTTTCTCCTGTGGATACCTCATGCCTCTTATCTTCTTTTCTTTATTCCTACCAAACCTTTTTTTTTGGTTTTAACTTCCTTCTACTTCTAGTCTCCTACCATCCTTACTTTTGCTATCTTGCGCTTGAGGTGTGTATTTATGCTAACTACTTTGTATGCTTCATTTATTTGTTAACCTCAATGAAGGATTTTTGGTGCCTTAATAGAATCTCGGGATGCTAAGGGCCTGTTCTGATCCGATTATTTTCAATTCAGTTCAGTTCGGTTCAGTTCAGTTTCTAATTTCCTTCTCTTATAAAATATTCAGTTCAGTCCAGTTCAGTTCAGCTCTAATAAGTTCAGTCAATCAGAACAGGCCCTAAGTTAATGGTTGGAACCATCTAAGTTAATTTTTCGACCTAGAAACGAATAAGGTTGGAGTGCTTCCCATGGATCCCACAACACCTCGAGTGGCTATCTAAGTGGTTGAAAAAGTCTAATTTTCCTTTAAATGGTCACTTTAGCTATTTACGTAAACACCTCACTCCATCAACTCAAAACCACCACGAGCCTTTACATGACAGTCTAGTTGTCGTTGATGGTCCCAATTAAATAACATTATATGACTCTGGGATGCATTCCCTACTATACCTCTATTTTACAACACTAGGTCTCGAAATATCTAAAATTGGTCCGATTTTAGATATTCCTTCAAATTTGGCCTTCAAAGAATACTTTTGGACGACTCTATTGAGGTGCTTTTTGGGGTTTGCAAAGAGCCTCACGAAGCTTACTTGATTTTTGAAACCATCTCATTCCTACCCTGGCCACCTTTTATGATCACGTCTTAAGATACCTTGTCTTGTCTCGCATTGATTTTTTAACCCTTGGAATAAAACTATATTGTTTTAAACCTAGCCACAACATCGAATCTATGAAGCAATACCCAAGTGGTGATGACCAAATGAAATAGTCATATTTATCACAAAGGTTAGATTATGTTGTATATCTATATGTTGATGAAAATGTGCTTATAATATTCAAAAAGAAGCTACAAGACCGTTCCTTAAAACCAACATAATTAATAAAGCTAGTAATAAAGAAACAAGTACCTTTCTATCAACAAAACTTCCAGAATATAATTGACTCGGGAAAACATTAATGAAGTACAAGTGTGTTTGATTAGTCAAAAATTAAGTAAATTAAAACCTATAAGATCTATGACTAAACCCCTACAAATTGGTTTACACATGATGAAAGTTTCGTGCAACAAAAGCAATTTATGTGCATGTTTCATATAATAATAATCGTAAAACTTAAGAAACAAGTAACGGTTATTTTAGGAAATTTTTCATCCAATTGGTTATATTAAAAGTTTTGAAATCACAGTCTACTAGCCTACTGTTAGGACTACGTAATTAGCTAGGTCCAATAATATGTACATGGTACCATACTACCATAGGATATATACTATGATTGGTAGTGTTAGGTACAGTTGCATGTTATGGACGGCTTAGTATATTCCTATTCAAGTGTATCTTTTTGAAATTTGGTTGAGTTTTTTGCCCTATGATAAGGATATGGACCATAATAATATGACATATTTATATAACTAACATGGGCATTGGAGAAAATATGAAAAAATGTGACGACTTTTTATAGTACGAATTTAAAAACCAGCTTGAA